TAGCACATTTTGTACTATATACAAAATCTATCATATATGAAAAAATAACTAAACTCTTTCTTGACAACATCTATTGCTATCATGGATTATCCAAGGATATTATATCGGATAGGGGAACTTAGTTTGTATCAAGATTTTGGAGGACTCTTTTCAAGATTATAAAAGTGGACATAAAACTATCTTTAGCATTCTATCCTCAAACCGATAGACAAATACAACGTATTAATGAAGTTTTGGAGTAGTATTTAAGATGTACCATTAACTATTAATAAGATAATTGGACAACTCTTTTGCCTTTGGCAGAGTTTGATTATAATAACACATTACATTTTTCTACCAAAAAAACACATTTTTTTGCCAATTATGGTTATCATCCATGACTTGATACTTTTGACTTTTCAAAAGCTCATAATCCTACAACAAAAGATTTGGCAAATCATTTGTCAAAGTTATATGCAACAATAAAGGCACAGTTAAAAAAAACTCAAGAATAACAAAAATTCAATGTGGATGTCTATCAAAAGGAATAACCACCATTCCACATCGATGACAAGATATGGTTATTTTGTCACAATATCAAGACTATTAGTTCTTGTGACAAGTTGGACTATTGTAGGCTTGAAAAATTTTCTATTTCTATACAAATCAATTCACTTGTATATCGTTTATACCTACCCAAGTTAATGAAAATCCATCCAATATTCCACATATCTCTTCTTGAACCATACAAGATAGTGGATATACCAAAAAGAAGACAAGTACCACTTCCTCCTATAGAAGTGGACAATAATAAAGAATTTGAAGTGGAAGAAGTCTGAGACTCAAGGCAGTGCCAAAATAAGTTGGAACATCTTATTCATTAGCATAGATAGAATATTAGTGAACACACATGAAAGCCAGCAAAGAATCTTGCAAATGCAATAAAGAAAGTGGAGGCTTTTCATCAATAATATCCATCAAAATCAAGATGAAGACCTTCCTTATAAAAGAAATAAGATCTAGGCAAGATAACATTCTACTTTTAATCCTTGTTTGTAGCTTCTTTGTATTTGTGATGCTAAAGAAATGGAGAACCAACAACCAGTAAATTCGATTGAAGAGCCTTCATTTGCTGATCTATCGGACAAAATATTATGATTATAATAATCTTCAAGAGAATGCAATCGAGATGAAGATCTTCAACAACGACATGTTCTTTCTCAAATAGATGGCAAGATACAATGCATCTGGTATCATGATCTTGTAAGAGACTCCCAATCTTTGGTAATTTTATTAGATGTAAGAACAACTCCTAACGGTATTCCAAATATTTTATTTGAAGAAAGTTATGAAAGCCTCAACAATGATGAAATAATAGGGTAGTATTTCCACCTTGGTATAAGATACTATCGATGGCTAAGAGGGCCTATCAATTATCTTCAAAGAGAACAAAGATTGGAGTATGTAGCAAATATAATTCATTGCATGTTCGATTTTTTTAACATATGAAGACTGCTCCTTGTGGAACTTGTTCCTAGAAAGAGAGATAATGTAATAGACATACACATATAAACTAATAATTACTTATATGATTTAGATAATAATAGGTAAAAAAATGTCAATTCTATAATATTTTCTACATAAGCTTCCTAGAAGCTTCATAGACACTGCTGTGACTTTATAAGTATCTTTAATTGATTTTTTAAGTTAAAAACATGGTCAACAAGTTGGCCATGTGCCACACATATTGCTAGCTTGAAGAACAAGCTAACTATGTGGCCCACACATAGAAAACTTGCTTTATAAGCTAAGGCATGTGACTTGCACAGTCAACATATATTAGAGGTTCTATAGAGCATCGCCATGTAGCTCCTAATTAGATAATATATATAGAGGCAAGAGTGCAGCCTTCTTTACTCTTGTCAACTCTTTTCTTGCTTCTAGTCTAGTTTCAAGAGTCTCAAATTTTCTTATCTTTTGGCAATAAGCCTTTCCAATTTCTTTTTAATATATATATTTTTTTATTTCTATTTTGTCACTTTTTCTTTGATATAAATTTCATTGGTTTATGCATCATCTTCCAATTCATGTCCTTGACAATAATCCACTCATTTTTAAAACAAGACAAAAATAATAAGTTAGCACTCTTATCAAATTGTTAAAGACCTCAATTTCAAAGAAAGAAATTTCCAATATACTCTTGTGTCATTAAAAAGAACAAGACGGTCACTCAAAGATGATGTAATATAAAACTAGAATGTCTAATGCCAAAAACAAAAAGACTAGAAAGTCTTGAAATAAGATTAAAGACTAGAAAAGTATTGACAAGAGTGAAGAAGACTTCATGCTTGCCTCTATATATACTCTTGACTAGGAATTATATGGCAATGTCCTATAGGACTTCCAAAACATGTTAACTTTATAAGACATGTATCTTAACTTGCAAGGCGAGTTTTCTACATGTACGTTATAATAAGCTTATTTTGCAAGCTCCCAACATGTAGTTAACTTGTTGACAAAGTTTCTAACCTATCAATCAACTATAAATACATATAAAGTCAAAGCAACATCTATGAAGCTTTTAAGAAGCTATTTTAGAAGGTATTATGAAATTAATCTATATTTATCTACTTTTACCTACTTCTATCTAATTATACAAAAATTTACTAGAATATGTATGTATATCTATGAAAAATTTCTATTCTTAGAATATTGATAAGCTTGTCAAGATCTGCAATAGTTGCAAATCTATTGTCACTTTCGTTGACAATAGCATCTTTAATCTTTTCTTCCATAAACAACTCAAACAAATTCAAAAAGTTAAATTAGAATAAGATAATTTGGAATCTCAAAAATCAAATGAAATTTTTTGCAAAGAAGAATAATCTACTTTCTTTAAGAAAAAAAATTCAATGTTAGAAAATTAATTTTTTTATTTAAAAGAAGATAGTCCGCAACCTTCAAAATACAACAATACAAGTGGAGTAATCCACTTAATTCTAAAATAAGACAAGAATAATGAATTAGCATTCTTATTAAATTGTTAAGGATATGAATCTCAAAGAAAGAAATCTTCAATACACTCTTGAGTCAATCAAAAAGACTAAGAAATCACTCAAAATTGGTAATAAATTGAATTAGAATGGCTATTGCCGAAGACAAAAAGACTAGAAAGTCTTGAAACAAGATTAAAAATTATAAAGGCATTGACAAGAGTGAAGAAGGCTTCATTCTTATCTCTATATATACTTTCTAAATAGGAGCTATGTAACCATATTTTATAGGACGTCCAACATGTGCTGACTTTGTAAGACATATATTTCAACTAATAAGACGAGTTATTTATATGTGTGCCACATAGTTAGCTTATTCCACAAGTTATTAATATGTATATCTTGTGGCTAACTTGTTGATCAAGTTTCTAGTCTATTAATTAAGTACAAACATGTGTAAAGTCAAAGCAACATCTATAAAGCTTCTAAAAAGCTTATCTAGAAGATATTATGAAATTAATCTACTTTTATCTACTTTTACCTAATCATATAGATAATGATTAGAATAAATATGTATGTCCATGACAAATTTATATAGAATTACATCAACAAATATTTATCATCATATTCTAATGTAATGATATAGTATTTTATATAACCTTTTCAAATAAAAGATTATAGTATAATAATATCATTAAGAAATAGCTAACTAAGGCAAACAAAATTATTTCTATTTTAATATTTATGCATTTAAGAAAGAAGATAGACTAATAATTTATTTATTTTACATTCTTCAAAATGTAACCATTTAAGTTAATGCAATTTTACATATATTTCTTTTAATTGTAATTAAAATTTTAAAATTTTAAAATAGACCAGAGTTTTAATTTGGACCTTTAATGGTTGGAAGATATCAAACATATTTGTGATTTGAATAATGACCAAATCTTATTCATAAATAACATCACAACTTTTTAGTTAAAATTAATGTCATACTTAAAATTACCATAAATATTCTAAATATTTTGAAATTCATTTGCATAAAAAAAATAAAAATTTCAAAGACTTCATATTTTAAATTTGTTTTACAATTAAAATATATGAATTTGTATATTTTGAAGTTTTTAGGATGTATTCAAGGAATTAGAAGCATTTTTTTAAATTTCAATTCAAGTAGATTTTTTCAAACATAATGATAAAGTTTGATATGATAAATAAGATTTGTTATGACAAACAACTAGTAAAGGTCAAATTTAATTATCTTATATTGCTTGCAAATATCCAATATTGGTACTAAAATCATTGAGTCCATTCTCAAATATACATACATGCTTGCATCTTAAAGAAGTTGTACATATATATATATATATATATATATATATATAAAAAAAAAAATTTCAAGATAACCAAATAATTTTTTAGTTGTTATTTTTGCTTTAAGAATTTTAAAATTTTTAATATTAATCTAGAACAAAATGTATTTTGTATTAATTCTTTATCAGAAATATTATATTACTTTTAAAATTATTTAACATCATATTTTTTAAACTTCTACTTAGTTGAACTATTTAAAATCCAGAAATTTAATTGATCATTACTTAATTATATAATTGATATGTGTATATATATATATATATATATATATATAGAAAAATTAACTTAACTTTCCTAATTGAATTATAAAATCTATAATTTAGCAATAGTAGCTATTTGGCTACTAGACCTATCAAAACTACATATTGAATGTTATCAAATAAACCTAATAGAACTTACCAAACTAAAAACTTTTGAGGTTGTATGAAACCAACTCTAACCACGGCAATAAATCATAAAGGAGAATACAAACCAATACCTCAAACACAACGACAACAACAAAACAAATAAATAAATAGATAAATAAATTTTTTCAAATTCGCCTTTCTTTCGTTGTTGAAAGTGGTAGGAAGCGATATCTTCCACCCTCCATATTTGCAATTCTACGTAATAAACTCAGCATCGAAAGAGTTTTTTGTTTTGTTTTTTGCAACTAGTGTTATCGGATTTGAGGAATCCATAGTCTTTCACAGAAATCTATGCAGACTTATACTCTTGTTTCACATCAAAACACTTCGCAAATTCACAAAACTCGCCGAAGCTAGAAGGTGACGTTCCGGAATCATGGGCTGGAATTAGCAACGTCGGCCGACGCGTTGGATTTTCGAGCAGCAACTGTGCGATGTATGAAACGCACATGACAATGGAATGCCTGGAAAAGTCACTCGCAGGGGGGGGGAGATTTGCGTCTCTCTTTTCACGGCAGAGGACGGGATGCAAATCTGTGTTTTGGAAACACTCAGCAATGAGCTTGACAGGAATCGTTGAATTTGTTGGGATTGATTTGTGTATGACTCGTCGAACGGTGAGCAATCCAAGTCGGAACTTTTATCCTGTGGGCATGTCTTTGGAGCAGCCCTAAATTACCCACAATTGCTCATGGACAATTTGCGAAGGCAGAGAGGGTAGGGGGGAGATTTTGCGCTGTAGCATGACGTCGCGTGTGTGCGCGTTTTGCGTTAAGGATGTTGGGCTCTACCGTGAGAAGGTTTGGTCTCGCTTTCAAATCCGATTGCAAGTTAGGCCTTGCTGAGGTTTTTCTCGAAGATAGGCTATTCAGGAAGCAGATGTTTGGGTGCTTCACAACGGTGACCGAACGCGATTTTGATCGTCAGGTTCGCTTGATCTGCTGACGCAACGCCAGTTTTGGTTTGCGATTTGGTTATGTCAGTTTTTTCTACAGGGTGTTACTGTGCGCAAGGGTGTTTTAGATTTAGGGTTTCTAACTGTTTGGAGGTTTTGGTAATATTGTTACTCTATGGATTACTGAGAGCAATGGTTTCTGATGAGCAGGAAACGCCAGGAACAAGTCTCAACAGACCCAACTTCGAAAGTGATGAGAATAAGTTGTGGTTCTGCAAGTATTCCACATTTTTTGACCCCAGGATTTATGAAGCATCGTATCGCAATTTGCGGCGCAAGGTCAAGAGGAAGACGAAGGTGATAGACGATACTTTCTCTCAGAGCACCATAGTTCGAGTAATCCAGCAGATGAGAGACAGGTCGTTTCAGTTCCAGCCCGTGAAGAAAGAAACGATTACAACCGCCGATGGGACACACATTCCAGTAGGGACACCATCGTTTTCCGATCAGGTCGTCCAGGAAGCAATGAGGTTTATTCTTGAGCCTGTTTTTGTGAATTCACGCCCCGACGAGAATTCTGCTCAGGCAACGTTGCAGAGGGTGCGCAACTGGACTGGCACAACGTGGCTGATCACTGACCGCACTCCTGGATTGTTGAACAACTTAGATCACTCTCTGTTGGGAAATCTTTTGATGCGGGGTGTGAAGGACCAACAACTTCATGACTTGTACTGGAAGCTCGTAAATGCAGGGCTTGTGGCCACGATCAACCAGGAGCGACATAATTTGACAGGAGTTTCAAAGGGGGGCATATTATGGCCTTTGTTTACAAACGTATATTTGAGTGAGTTTGATGTTCGGCTCAAGGAATTTGCGTCCAGCATGTCCAAGTCTCTGCCAACCAAAAAGGATAAAGGTACCAAGGTTCACTACATCCGCTACGGTGATCGATGGGTGGTAGGCGTGGACGGACCGAAATCTTTAGCTGTTGAGGCGCAGAACAAAATCGTGTCATATTTGAATGACATTCTGAAGCTGAAAATTGATAGTGATAGTATCACTATTTCTCATCTACCGTCTGAAAAAGTGAATTTTCTCGGAGTTTTGGTGGGAGCCAGGGATAAGAAGTACGTTGAGAGCTTGGTGGGTAGAAGTGCCGAGCGCGCTTACGGCCGCATTTTTTTAGAAGCTCCTATCAACGACATAGTAGAGAAGCTTGTGGATCAGGGATTTGCTGTCAATCCTGAGTGGCCTCGGGGCATGAGTGCATGGATTCACCTGGAAGCAGAGGAGATTTTGCGACGGTACAGAAATATCATGACAGGTTTGATGGAATACTACTCTATAGTGGATAACAACAACATGATGCGGAGAGTGTTTTGGCTTTTGAGATTCTCTGCTATCTTCACTCTTTGCAGAAAATGGCGTATGTCAACTAGAGCTTTGTTTAGGAAGTTAGCTAATGATCCACAGTACGAGGATTTATTGAAGGGAAGATTGACTTCTTCACGTCGGTGACTTGCAATCCTTCGTGCCCACAAGGAGTTCCATGGCGCAGTCAAGTCATTGGCATCAAGTGACTCTTTTTCTACTTTGACAACCTGAACATGATCTTTTTATTTGTGTGTAATCTATTGGAAAGCAGCTTTGGGGCGTATGTACAGTTTATTTTATCAACTAAGAAGACTCCAATCACTGAGAAACAAGCTTGACTCTTATCAATTTTGTACTGTCAATCTAGCGGAGGACATCAACGCTAACACACAAACATTCATCGCTTTATTCAAACAGAATTGCCCATTTAGCAATAAATATATGTCAAAGTGAGATAAAATAAATTTGACTGTTATAAAATACTGGATACCCTAACTTTTTATAAAAATAACATGAAAGTGCTATGGTTTTTTGCAATTTTGAAAATACGTAATTCTGTAATCCTTATCTTTGTATGCAATTATTAATGCTGCATTGATGTTTGGTCTTTGTTCTTTTTCAATCAACTTTTGATTATTATACTATTGCACGTGACTTTTTTTTTTATTACAATATTCTCAATCATTTCTGCTATTGAAAAGCATACGTACTATTTGCATTTATTTATTTATTTATTTATTTACTTTCTTTCTTTCTTTCTTTCTTTCTTTCTTTCAAAAAAAAAAAGAAAAAAAAAAAACGAGTATCTTTACAAAAATCATGTTCACTACTGAAAACATATGTTTGTTTGATTTCTATTTTTTCATTTTTTATTTTCATTTTTGTTTATTTTAGTTTAGATAAAAGAAAAAAAAGAGTCAATGCACAACAATATTAAACTATTTTTGGAAAAAATATTTTGTGTATATGTATGTATGTATGTGTGTGTGTGTGTGTGTTTAAATGTACATATGTATAACAAAAAATAGTAATATGATTTCTGATAGATACATAAATAAACCTTATTTAATCAATTTATTGGGAAATTACTATGAATAAACTTCTAACATATTCTTTTAAAAGTTTATTCTTAAAAGTTTTATGGACATAATTGTTATGGTATAAAAAATAAAAATAAAACAAGACAAAATCTATTTTAATCTTGCTAATGCATGTTTTTGAGGAATTTGAGTATTACTTTCTCCTAATCTTGTATCTAGTATTGTTTTTAATGAAGTATTTTGTTTCTTTTCTTCTTCTTAATCTCATAGTTTTATGTCTTTATAATCTTTATTCAACAATAATATTAAAATATTTATATTATATATATTATTTTTATTTTATTTTAAATAACTAATATTTATATTAATAACACATAATAAAAAATTAATAATATATAGTTTGTTTTACTTTATTATATTTAAAAAACATTAAAAAAATTAATTTGACTTATTAAAAACTATGTCAACATTTAGATCTGTTATGATTATAATGCCAATTGATTGCATAATGATCTATTTAATATAAAAATAATTATATGATATCTTGTATCTTTTTATTTATTACAATATTTATCTAAATTTTATTATTATAATAATAATAATGTGTTAGGTTTAACATTAAGTATTTCATAATAGCTTTTGAGATGTATTAAAGTTGTAGAATTTATTGTTAGACTTAAAAGTAGTGATGTAAGTATTGAAAATTAGAATAGATAAGATGTTTTAATTGTCTAATTTTTTCATATGAATGTGTATTTTAGAATTAATTTAATTAGTATTCTTAATTTTTTAAAATTTTATTTGTTTTGTAATTAAATAAAAATAAACCTTCATCATTCTTTGGATTGGACTTTTAAATAGTAGATTAGAGATATATGACAAAAATACTAATTAGATTCTTTACAAAATTGGGTGCAATTGCAAAATACAAAGAACATGGATTGAACCTTAAATTACTTCTCATCTTATGCCTTCTTTATTAATCTAAAGTCTAATTGTGCATGTAATAATAATACATATGGATAAAGACAATCCTATTTGAGTTCTTTCATAACTATAATTGCTTTAGCATATAAACTTATACAACTTGAAGAACACTTTTAAAAATATCTTTTCACTTGTACTTTGTAAACTATTAATATAAGTTTTATAGACATAAAGATTTTATTAATACTTGCCAAAACAAAAGCATGTAGTTTATATACTTTTTAAATATGAGATGTACAAAATTCATAAAAAATTTGAGCTTGTATGTATTGTGATTCTGAAATTTGTACATTATAGATTTTTGTATAGAGATTTCTTCATTTATAAGCACAAAATACTTATAAAAATTTTTTTGATTAAAAAAATTAGTCATTTGAATCATAATTATGTTTAATTAATAAGATTTTAAAGTCATGTTGAAAATATTGCAATATATAATTTAGAAGTTTTATTTATAAATTTTGTAAGATTACAACTTATTAATCTTTAAAAATATATATGAATATATAAAAAATTTGAAAAGAAAAATATAAGAGTTGTAATATAAGCTTAATACTTTGTTTGTTTGTTTTTTTTTTTTTTTTAAAGACAACTTAAATTATTGTGAAGACTATGAAAGTTCTTATAAAAAAGACTTAAGTATGTGATATATAAATAAAAAGAAAATTTTAGACCAAAATATTGCATCTAATAAAATATTTTCAATATTAAAAATCAAGATTATAAAAAATTTAGTCCAACTAAAGATTATACTTTTTTAACCACAATTAATCTAAAGTAATTTAGTTAAAAATAGATATAATAATATTAAATACTACTAAGCTATTTTGACTATTTTTATTACATTTATAGAAATACTTTGATAGATTTACAATACAAGCATAATTGTATCAAAGTACTTATCAATTTATAGAAATACTTTAATAATATCTCTAAAAGATTAAAAAAACTAACCAATGATTTCTATATACACCGCTTAGTATTCTTTATAAAAGATATTTCATACTTTTTAACAAATTCTTTATCTTAAGAATAAGCTAAGGCTCTCGAATCTAACAAGACAAAGACTTTGTAATGTTTATATGATAAACAAATATTTATTGTAAAATAAAAAAAGATTTAGATGTAATCTTTTCATTGATAATAAAAAAAAAAAAAAAAAAAAATCTCAAAATTGTCAAGAATAATTATGCTTGTATTGTAGGAAACCTAAGCACATTTCTTAACATTGTCATAAGAAGTAATACAACTAAAATCAAAAGTTAGGTTTATATCATCAATTTGTATGTATTCTACTTTCAAAGGTATATGTTGAGAAGTTATCAATATTGCCATTGAATTGTAAAGACATTAAGGCAAACTTGTAAGGATTTCAAATCAAAATTCAAAAAGCTAATAGTCATACTTCAAAGCAAAATCAATTTTTTGATTCAATGTTTGAAGATCAAATATATTCATTATCAATTTCTTTATCTTATATTATAATATAAAAAGAGATTGACTAATAAAGTGCTAAGCCATCTCACTTAATATTAATTATAATTTATTAAAATTATAAAATATATAATAATACTAAAAAATTAATATGATACAAAATACAAATTTCGTCAGAAAAGCCTCCAAATTATTTAATATTAGATGGAAACATTTAAAAAAAAGATGAAATTTATAATAAAATAAAATATAAAAATAATATTTTAAAAAACCTAACTTCTAATTATGAAGTTGGATAATTTTATAATTGAAGCTTAATCACTAGTTGTATTTAATTAATAATTTTTTAAAACTTTGATCTTGTACCATAAAATTTCTTAGGCAAGATAAATTTTGGTTCTCTAATACTTGTATTGGTACTTGAATAATATTCTATTATTAAAAAAAATTATTATTTGCTTTAGATGTTGAATTAGTTTCAACCATCTTTACATCTTTATTTTTAATATATTATTTTGTTAATTATGGTGGTGTCAAAGACAAGATTTTAAAGAATATAATTAAACATGTGAAATATGTATCCAAGAAAGATAACATAAAGGAAATAAAAAAGTATTTATATTGATATAAAAATTAAAATGTCTATTGTCAAAAATAAAAAAATAAAAAACTATTGATTTTTAAACTATACTAGAAATTTTAAAAAAAAATGGCAAGAGTAAAGAAGGCTTTAATTTTGCACCTATATATACTATCTAAAAACTATATGGCAATGTTTTATAGCTCATCCAATACATATTCAACTTATAGGACATGTATCTAATTTGTAAGAGAAGTTTCTAATATGTGTGCCACTTAATCAACTTATACAACGAGTTTTCAATCTATCAATTACTTGAAAATACTTAGAGAGTCAAATCCATATTTATCAAGCTTCTAAAAATCTTCTTCATAAGATATTATGAAATTTATGTACCTCTATTTGATTCTTCTTATCTAATTAATTATTATTATTAATATACATATAAATGATAGGTTATTAATTGAATTGGTGCATTGTGAGTAATAATTTTTTTATTTTTTTATGCATTTGTGCTATCACATCTTTTTTTTTCACAAGCTCTATACTTGGAACAAATGATAGAAAATTTTTAAGAATAAAGAAAAATTTGTAAACAGTATTAGTTTAAAAGTAATTAATTTACAACTTCTAATATTCTTATGCCTTATCAATAAAAAGGAGTAATTCATTCTTAATAATAAAAAAATATAAAAATTAAAGGCTCTTAAAATAAGACTAAAATAAGAAAGGTGTTAATAAGAGTAACAAAGATTTTATTTTTATTATTATATATACTATTAAACTAAGGAGCTATATGATAATGTTTTACAATTCATCCAACATGTATCCAACTATCAAAGATATGATCTCAAAAAAAAAAAAAAATGTCAATATATTCTTACATCATTCAAAAGACTATAAAATTACTCAAAAATGATAATATATTGAATTAGAATGGGTATTGCTTAAGATAAGAAGACTAGAAAGTCTTGAAACAAGACTAAGGATCAAAAAGATATTAATAAGAGTGAAGAAGACTCCACTCTTGCTTCCATATATACTATCTAACTAGGAGCTATATGACAATATTCTTTAGGACTTCCAATATGTGATGACTTTGCTAAACACATATCTTAACTTATAAGGCAAGTTATCTATATGTACGCCACATAGTTAGCTTGTTCTATAGGCTCCCAACATCTATAGCACATATTTACCTTGTTGATCAATCAACTATAATACATGGAAAGTCAAAACTTCATCTATGAAGCTTCTAAAAAGCATTTCTAGAAGATATTATGAAATTAATTTACTTTAACCT